GAGAGAGAGAAACACATAAACGCACACAAGCATGCATGCTTAAAAATAAATCTTTTTTTAAAAGGTGACAAACAGATTGTGCCTCTACATAAGGATGAAGTTTGTGAAATTTGGTATTTATCTTCAGTTAGCTGCTCTATGTGTATGTGCATGCCAGGCAATTAAGATCAAGAAGGACAGTGTTCAGTAACCTTAATTTGGATATCTTCCAAGGTAGACACAGAAAGGCATAGAGTAAGATAGAATTACCTGTTTTTCTGTCTACTTTAAATCTTGGATAACAATTCCATTTCCTAAAATTCTTTTGAGCAGCTTTCTCTTTATTATACAACTCTCTCTTCTCAATGTCTGCAGTCTGAGAGGCTAGCTGTTCCAGTTTAGACACAAAAGTTATCTGTGTGATGTTGGGCACTTACCTAGTGTTCATGTCTTTATCTCTAAACTGAAGGAATGATATGGAGTTGTTGTAAAGGTGTCATGAATTGATTGATGTCTAATGCTTAGAAGAGAGTATGGAATCCTAAGTGCTCCTTCACCTTTAGACATCCTACACATGCCACTTGTATGTTTTATGTGTTGCATTCTCCAGACAGGTAGTTATTCTTATCACAGAGCTATGGATATACAATATTCCAGTGTCATAAAAAAATTTTAAAAACTTTCTCTTCTTCCAGAAAGATTAGATTTGTTTAGAAGCCACATTTATACATTCACATGCAATCCACTCTAGACTTTAGAGTTGGGCTGAAGTGATGGCTCTGTGCTTCTGCTCTTCCAGAGAATCAGGGTTTGATTCTCAGAACCCATATGGTGGCTCACAACCTTCTGTAACACCCATCCTAGGGAATTTGATGCCATCATCTGACCTCTGAAGACACTGCCAACAAATACATGGAGATAAAACATCTGTATACATAAAATAAAAATAAATAAATCTTTAAAATAAAAAACTTAGATGTGCCCTGAGTCGAATTCAAGTAAAGAAAGATTAAAGGTTCAGAGCACCATTTGTCTTGTAAAATCTACTTGATACTTTCCCTGGCATGCCTATTAGGCAGAAGGAGGGGGAAAGACATTGTTAGTAGGGAAATAAAGACAAATAGCATGGTCTCTATTGTTTGTGAAGCTCTTGCTATCTAGTGGGAAAGGCAGAGATGAAGGAAGTACTGTGTCTGAACTAGTTCACGCTCCACTCCCAGCAACTGTTTACCATTATTACAAACTTCATAAGCACTTGACACAATAGTAGTAGTATTATTATATATTTGTATTTGTTTCTTTACCTATCTACCAAATTTTCCAAACAAGGAACTCAATTGTAATACTTATTCATTCTTACAAAGATTATATGCATGCTATCTTTACATATGAGTGTAATATTTATTAACTGATATTAAGTAAGATTTCAACATGAAGAGATAAGCACTGTGGTATGTACCAAACCTGAGCCAAGAAGAAAACACCTCACCCTTGCTTAGCAGACCCAGCATGTTTCCAGAAGCAAGCCATTTCAGAGGCTATTGCTACATTTCAATCTATAAATGTCATTATTGTCTTACTATGAAACTACCAGTCTCTTTCCTGATATGCAAGGATATTCCTATCTGGAAAGACCCAGAAGTGGATGCCAGGAAGAGAAGCTGTCAGCCAACCAAGACTGCTATGATATTTGCTCCATAGCCAAGACATTACAGAGGTATACAGAAGTGTCTCCACACAGTCCTACACTGGTGAACATTGGTGCCAGCAGCAGTGAGCCATATACTCATTATCAGTCCTTCCAGAGGCTTCCCTCCCTCTTAGTACTTCCAAAGTTTCTACTACATTACCTTCTTGTCTTCAAATCTTCATCTCAGTCTGAATGTTGAGATGACAAGTGAGCATAATCCTGAAAACCATCTAGAGTTCACTGGACAAGAACTAGAAAAGTACACCATTCATCCAGTGAAAGAAAGAGACTCAATTCTCGTTTCTTTCCTCTGACTTCTCTCCTCTTTTAGAGATCAGAATTGTGTTTTAGGGGAGCTCTTAAAAGTTATTCATAAGAAAAAAGCCCTGAAATATTAAAAATAATTGTTATATTATTTTATTATATATTATTATAAAATTAAATATGGTTAACATACCATGAAGATATTAAGAAAAGAGTAAAAATTTAACTGATGCTGTGTACATTAGAGACGCCATTTCAGAGCCAAAAGCCCAGCATGGTGCAGGTGGACAGGAGGTCCTAAATTTTTGAAATAACATTCAAAACCCAGCTTTCTGTGCTCATGAATCTTTAACTAAAGACCTTCTTTGTGTCTTTTCCTTTCTGAAACATAGCTCAGGGCCCAGGAATGTGATGTTTAGCCCTCAGTAGGAACGCTTACACAAACAGTTCCTTGAAACCCGGCATAGAGCCCGATCATAAATTTTATGATGTGTGAAGCGCATGTTCAAGGAAGTATTCATTAGTAAGGCCATAAGTTAAATGAGGAAGGGTGGCCCATGCCTTATGTGCTCCATCATTTCTATTCTGTTTATGTATGCAGACCCAAGTGTGAAACTGACATTTGTTGTTAATGTATTCTCCGGACAAATGTTTGACTCTAGTCAAATGTATTTTCTTTTGCATCCCCTGACAGTTCTCTTTTTCAATTGGAGGAAAACGGGAATATGTTTTGAAATCACTCTCTGGATGTTGATGTTTAATATTCTGTGAGGACATCACAGAATGCATTGTGAGGCACATTTAGTGAAACACAGAATTATTCCTCTCTGATAATTAAATTAATCTACATTCAAGATCATAGGTGGGATTTGACAAGGAGCTACTCACAGTGCTATCTCTGCAAATCACATTTTAAACAGTAAAGCATGTTAATGGCTTATATTCTGTTACCAGTTTGCAGTTGCCTTTGGCCTTCTGTCTCTGATTTCAGCAAGTCATTAGTAGATTGTTCAAAACGAGAGATCTGATTTTGATATTTTAAATTTAAAAGTTAGATGAAGCATTTGCATGACCTATAAGAGCTCTCGAATTCATCTCAACACCACAGAAAAATGAAGAAAAATAATCATCACACTTTGATAGTAGATGTAATTATAACCTCAAAACATGTTCATAGTGATAGTATTTTGAAGCATCAGGTTATATGCTGAAGTCACCATTGGGATCTGTAACGTGGGTTTAGCCAACTAGCACTGAAACTTGTTAGCTGCATCCCTTGGGCTACCCTTCCCCTTTTGAATTCGGCAGTACTAAAAGTATCTGTCTCATATATTTGTTATGGAAATTAAAAGAAATAAACCTGTAAAGGATCAACCTCCATGTATGACTCCTAGAAATTATTAGCAAATGTTAGCTGCTGCATTATAATTATGAATCACTATGCGTCATTTGTTATAATAGATTCTCTCTATAGACTGATGACACAGTTACAAATGAGCTGCAGAGAGGATGTAAGAATTTCTCTTTAGAAAATTAAGCTAAAACACAGATTAACAGAAACAAGCTGGTAAAAGGTAGAACAATGATTCAAAGTCAGATCATTCTGCCAATTTTGTCACTTTTGCCACTTTTCATTCTCAGATGCCAAGTCTAAGACACCAGTTGTATACAAGGGTTAAATATTAGATAAAAATTGAAAGCAAATAAACTAAAAAATTATTATCCTATCATAGTGACCATATAACAAATGTCAATATGATGTGAGTAGCTGTGGTTCAGGACCACACAGATATTTCCATAGATTTGGAAAGTTCTACTGAACATTATCAAGTTAAGCATCTGCCTATGCTGCTTTAATCACAATACAAAACACATTAACCCTAGCCCTAACCCTAACCCTAACCCTAACCCTAACCCTAACCCTAACCCTAACTCTAACCCTAACCCTTACTAGCACAGTAAGTGGCTCTCTGCATTGGCATGTATCTTCTCACTGCTAAATCTACTAACCCTTAAAAAGATTTCTGTTACAATAGAAATAGCCATGTTGACCTTGAAGAGGAAAAGTACCACGGAATCATTCTTCATTCTTTTTTTTATTGGATATTTTATTTACATTTCAGATGTAATCCCCTTTCCCCATTTCCCCCTCACTCAGGTACCCCCTATCCCATTCCCCCCTCCACATTCTTCATTCTTAAACTAAAGGCTTTAGGGATGGATTTTGTTTATAACATGTTTCCTGGTTGGAGAAATAGCATTGCTCAAGATGATAGTGAGACTCTGAGTTTGCTCTCATCCTTTTACTTGTTGGGAGAGATTGCTCTGCTGAGACTGTTTCCTTCCCAGTAAAGAAAGAGCACCAGTGGGTCAGCTAGCATGCCCTCTGAGTTCCACTTCCCTTTAGAGACTGTGGTTTGCACGTTCATAATTTTTATGTCTATTTTCTCAAGCAAACATATTTATGCACACTTCATCATCACAAATGAGAGAACAAAAAAAAAGGCATCCCAGCCTTATCAGCTTTGGACTGCCACCCAAGGGTCTGTGTATCCCAGGGACACACTTTCATCATGCTGACCCTAAGGAACAGCTTGATCACAAGAAGAAACAAGAGGAAAAAGAATCTTTATCTGTGCTCTCGCCAGAAGAGTCATAATGTTGTTCTAGTGTAGAAACCTAATTTTATCACTGTTTGGAGTCAGATGATATAACTTGCCTATTATACACACAGTATCTCATGGTGGCTTTTAGACAGTGACTGGATAGAGAAGTCTTAAGGATAAAGGTATCAAGTGCCATCATCTCATCAGCTAATCAATACTCTTTGAATACATGGGATATACTTAATACAATGGTAGGCCAAACACATAGTAGGCAAGAGTCATATAATAGGTAAAATGTCAAGGAAGAATGATTTGATGACCAACATTCCTGATATGATCAACATTTAGCAAACACTGTATGTCAAAGATCAACTCCAATGAACTGTGTTTTCCTTTACTGTTAGTGTCTTACCTAAAAACAACGTAATCTAGTTTTTTCCTCATTTTTTTTTAATCCACAGAATGTCAGTACTGGGGCTCAGAGCTCCAGCTGCCTACCCTGAATTTTGAAGATGTGTTAAATGATGATGACCATGCATACAAATGGCTTTCCAGTCTCAAGAATGTAGGCATTGTGAGACTCACTGGAGCAGCTGACAAACGTGGCGAGATCATAAAACTTGGGAAAAGAATTGGCTTCCTGTACCTTACATTTTATGGGTGAGTTTTCAGGCAGTTTGCTTTCTGCCATGACAAATACAGTTGGATCTATTTCCAAGAGGGGGTGGGCTTTGATTGCAAGATAAATGAAATTATTTTGAGCTTATATTGTAGACAGTGTTACAAGTGAAAGAGGTCTTCACAGCCCGAAGTTTACACACTAGTAGCACACAGTCATATTTAGATGTATTTGGTTTGGCCCACAAGGCATCAAAATAAAATAGAATTAGTTGTCAACACTTTAAAATTCAGAGGTTCAAAATTTATGTGGCCTTATCTTTTCTTGAAAAATCAAATCTAGCAAGACTAAGCCTAAACTTAGCATGCCAACAATCTACTGAGCATAAACAGACTGCACCTTGAATCATTTGCTGGAGTCTTCTACCTCCTCAGACCTGCAAGGCTGTGATAACACAGGAGAAGTTGTCCCTAATGTAGAGTAAGATGTACAAATGATCAAGAACATTAAATCATCTACCTTTAACCATTTCAGTGAGTTTATTCATAGCAAAAGTCTGTCATGTTTGAATATAGACAACCTATTCCCAACCATTAGCATATGAATTTACTTACACTGTTATTAAGTTTGCTTTATATAAAATGTATATAATAGTTCTCTCTACAAGAATTAGTGCTTCTGTAGATTTTGCAATACTAGTAGACCAATAAATGGGAATAAAATGTTTGAAATTATTAAGAGCCTCAAATTTATATTTTTTAATTCTTTTAAAGTCTCTAAAACAGAGGTTATCTTTCAGTATATGAGTAGGTAATATGAAGCTCAAAGAATCAATTTGTAGTCCAAATTGACACAAGTAACAATAAAGAAGGCAAAGTATAAATCTACGTTACGTCTTTATGATCTAACTTTACTTCACTGTTAACAACGTGAAGAAAATACATGAAAAGGTGCTTTGGAGGTTGGACTAAACAGAACTACTCAAAATAAATTTTTTATAGGTTGTATTGCTTAGTTTCCATTTAGAAATAACAAACACTGCACATTATTCCAATACACTGCACATGTTCATAACAATTACCAGTTTTGTGTCTTTTGGAGTTTCCTAGTAGAGCCCAAACCATACATCCATCTAATAGAGGGTCAGAATCTTAATCTTGATTTACACTTTGACATATGTTTTGGTTTGTTTCTACAGTTCCTATAATAGGGCTTAATAACTTGACCACTGATCTAATATTGTGAAATTTCTTGGAATAAATAGTAAAGGACCATAGTCAAAACAAATTAGACCTGCTACTTCTCCTGATTCCATTTATCCAAGATCTTCACACGCAGCCAGAGTGGCTGATGCTATCCTAACACATTTTCCCCATATGATGGAGACTTGCCAGGATCCCTCACAGTGTACACATGTTAATATATTTCTTTCTTACCACCTCACCTCAACAGTCCCCATGTATTAGCAGAGTTTCTGCCACCTTTTCTGCAGTTTTTAATTCTCTGAGCTCCATAACTAGCAGAGGGTTTTGCCACCATGCTGGTTTTGTTTTGCTTGCCTATTTCGGACATGGCTATTACTGTTGATGTTAGGAAGAACGGGATAAATTGAATATCTTCTTTGAAATTAGCCTTCTTTTCTACTCTCTATCTCTGGAATGTTGATATATTGAAATTCAGGTTACATGAGAATTTTTTTAAAAATATTCGGGGATTTTATTAGTGTTGTAAGAGCACCTAAAATAGCATATCTCTGCCAACAACATGTTGGAATAGGCCTACAACTACAGGTGTCTGGGGCATAACTTCAGAGTGTTTCTTCATCAAGAGTGACATTTGACCTCTGCATTGGGACTTTAGGAACTCAGCAGAGGATTGTCATGTGCAATCACAGTTGAGAAGTTCTGGTTGAGAGGATAGGACCCTGCCAGACATACAGGTCTCCACACCAGTAGAATTTCAGGTGCTATATAAGCTCTTAACTCTCACAATTGCCTGTCACAAACATCTGTTATACTCTTAGGAAACAAATATCCACTTGTTCTTTTTCACTTATATATAGTTACAAGCTTAGAGAATTTTAGATGCTTGCGATGTAAGAATAGCTATATTTAGTTCTTGGCTAGTATCTCAATGGTTGGTTGATTTGTAAAATAAAAAAAAGAGAGAGATTCCAGATTTTCAAGCGTTTTTCATATATAGTAGGCAGAGATAAATGCTTACTGAACAAATACATGCCTAGATGTGTTTAAAAGGTTTCCAAATAGAATATGAATACAGGAATTATCGGAGCATTCTATAATTATTAATTTATGTTCAACTAAATCAAAATGGTAATTAGAGGACAAAGTACACTTCAGTTTCCATATCTGTACTTTCTCGGTTACTTGTCATTATTCTGCCAACTCATCTGCCAGGCCATCTTCTATACAATATTGCTTCATGCAACTGTGTGTAACACTCAACAATCCTAATGCCCCAGTGATGAAAGCTCTACTGTTAAGGACTTGGAAAAACTCCCACTCTCAGTTTTATCAATTATATATGGATATGGAAAGAAGAATTCAAAAATTGTAATTTTTCAGGATTTAAATCTTGATTTAGACAAATGAATTTTATAAATAATGAAGAAAAAGACTCTCATTCCTACCCACCAACAAAACCAAAATAATTAACTTTCAGAAGCCCCTTGGAAATATATAAAGAAATTGTTAATGAAGAAATTATTTTAACTTTATGATATAATTTAACCCAATCATTCTAAGCTACCCTTTTCCTCAGTGGTGACATCTTCCATGATTTTAAATTAGAATAAATCATAAAGAAACAATTACTGTCAATGAAACAAAATGTTTTCACATTCTGTTACACATATTAATATGTATAAGGAACTATGCTTGGCATTTTGTTCTAAACTGGGCTTGAGTTTTTATCTTATAGAAAATGATGTTTGCTGGTTAATATAAACACTTCATTTGGCTTTCTCTAAATAATCTAAAGAAATAAGATTCCACAAAAAACAAAGATCAGACTTTAAAGAATCCAAAGACATTTTACATTGTAAATGAGGTAATATTTTAGCTCACAAATGCCAATAGAAGTTTGAAATTGAGGGGTCAAATTCTCCCTCAACATAGTGCAAAGTAGGATCAAAATGGTGCAGCATCTAACTAACAAGATGGTCTTTAAAGAAACTACATTAAGGAACAGAAAAAATGGCTCAATAGTTAAGAGCATATGCTGTTCTTGAAAGGACCAGAATTCAGTTTCCAGAGACTTTGTTCTTAGGCAGCTCACAAGCATCTATAACTCCAGAAGATCCAGCAGTCACATCTACTCATGTACACAAACCCACACACACACACAAATATGCATAATTTTATTTTCAAATGAAAAAATGTGTATGTTATGTGTATACTTACGTGTGACATCATAAATACCTATTTAATTGACCATGCTATGTTAGAGCCATCTCTTCCTTACCCTTATGCTAATTTAACTCAGACATACACCATTCCCTCTCATGCCTGTCATGGACTAGTAAAACTGAGACATCCGTATCTCATTATCACTGTCACTCAAAAGTTTTGACTGCTGAAAATGTTGGGTAATCAAGTTATGGTTTTAGGACCAGCTTAGTGCCTTTGATGGAGTCAGCATGTAAGAGATGATGGTAGACATAGTCGTTCCTTTGTTGTTTGCTCAGAATTGCTTCACTCCCTTCTTTCTAAACTCTCTTCACAGGACACATGGTGCATGCATGCTTTCCATCCCTTGCCATATTTTCTTTTGACACACAATTCATGCCAAGCCTGTTTAGGATTGGGGGTTTTTTTGTCTTTATTTTGTTTTGCTTTGGTTTTTTGTTTGTTTGCTTGTTTGTTAATTTTAGTCAGCTTTTGGGTTGGGTTGCTTGGTTGGTTGGTTGGTTGTCAGTCAGTTGGTTTTTCTTTTCTTGTTTTTTTTTTTATTCTCTCTTCCAACAACTGTTTTTGGTGTGTGATCCTTTATCTGGAAGCCTCTTTAGCTGCTGGGAAGGAATCTCCCTCAGCCAACCCTGCTCTATGAGATTAGAACCTGTGCTTTCTTCTAAAGTCCAGGCATTATGATAGAAAATAACATCTCGTTACTTCTCACACAAATAAACAAATTTTGTATTCTCAGTGGCCAAGGAGGAAAGAGGAAATGTAAGTTTTCCTCTTCTCCATTAGTTAATAACATAAAATAGTTACAACCTTTTTGTTGACTAGTCTGACTTTATTTATAATGAATTCAGTATATAAAAACACTAACACAGCTATAAGCTATTCCTATTGATCATTTGCTAGTGTGTGCAGTGTTTAAAACTATAATTTTATTAAGACAATTTTGGGAAACCTGAATGATCTCAAATAAGAAAAAGTATTAAACACTCAAATTTTCCATTTTTACTAATTGTGTGACTACATGAACTAGCTGGCTATGCCAGGGCAGAATTATTTACATAAATGCAATTGTGGGTCATAAAGTGAAAGAGAAGAATTAGGAGGAAAGTGATCCAGTTTAAGCAATTAACCAGTCACCCTGCTGTAATCCTTGAACCCCGTAGATATCACTGTCATATTCATATTGAGTCTTTCTAGTCAAAGTGGGGACCTGATCAGGATCATACATCAGTATCAACTAAATAATCCACACACAAGTTCCCACTAAGTGAGTTTTTAAGCCTAAGGACTTCCATCAAGTCAAGACTTTAAAACTTCTTTCTTAATGTTGTTAACAACTGTCTTGATTTCAAAAATTAACCTCATGAGGAACTCATAGCAATTCTTCATCAGAAAATTAAGCACAAGAGGCAAAGGCTTGCAAGCACAACTGCCTAGTTTACTTTCTAGACTGAGACTAGAAATGTAGCTTTAAATTTTGGAGATTTTGTTTCTCTAAAAATGTTTTATTCACTGAAGTCAGCATACTGCACAGGTACACAGCATGAGAGCTAGACTGTGTGAGGAATGAACTGAAAGTCAAAGCATTCAGAAATTAACTTCAGGAATAAAATTTA